TGGGCATGGCTCATGATCAGCCAGAAGCCTTCCCCTGTAGTTATCTGCACTGACAGCTGAGCCGTCTATTGGGGCTTGATCCTGTGGCTACTGACATGGTACCATGCCAACTGGATGGTTGGTCATCAGCCCCTGTGGGGGCAAGAGTTGTGGCAAGACCTATGGGCCTCTGGTCAGACTAGGAGTTACCATATATCATGTGACTGGCCATTTGCCTTTGGCATCCCCAGGGAATGATGAAGTGGACACATTGGCCCAGGTGGGTTGGCTAGAAGGAAAGCCTGCCTCTGATGTAGCTCAATGGCTACATCAGAGTTTGTTGCACATGGGGCAAAAGACAATGTGGGCTGTAACCCATCAGTGGGGCTTGCAGTTGACCTTTGAGGAAGTCAGCAGAGCCCGGAAGGAGTGCCTTGTGTGCTCTAAGAGGGACTTATATGCCGAGTCCCGCAGCAACATGGGACAATAGTAAGGAGGCTGATATCCTTGTCAGGTGGCAGATAGACTATATGGGGCCTCTGCCTGTATCAGAAGCATATCAGTATGCCATGACTTGTGTGGACACAGCTACTGGACTGTTGGTTGCTTTTCTTGCTTGTCATGCAGATCAGCAAACCACCAAAAGGGGCCTAGAGTGTCTCTTTGCAACCTTTGGCTGTCCACAGGTGATTGAGAGAGATCAAGGCACCCACTTTACTGGACATGTGTTACAAGAATGGGTGCAGCAATTAGGAATAAAGTGGAAGTTTCATGTACCATATAACCCTACTGGGCCAGGCATGATAGAGAGGTACAACGGTTTGTTGAAATCTGGCCTGAAGTTGGACACCAATAGTCTGCAGGGCTGTTCAGTTCACTTATGGACAGTGCTATGTCATTTGAATGAGAAGCCCCAAAAAGGAGCCTTGAGCCCTATGGATATGCTAACACATAATGCTGCCTCTCCTATACATCTGTATGTGCAAATCAAAGAGGAGTTATTGAAGCCAAGATATGACCAGCAGAGCAACTTCCTGCTGCCAGCCCCAACTGCATTAAACCTTGGAGACTGTCGAACAGAATACTAGTTCATTTAGAGTGAACATGGCCCTGGACATTTCGACATGTGGACCAGTGATGGCTGGCCCTTCTGGCACCTTGGGGAGAAGGCCTGGAAGCTGACCTCCTGTGTGTTCCTGGAGTAACAGCAGAGTGGCACCCAAAGATCACAGTAGTGTACCCAAAATGTCTGGGAAGTAAGAGCATCTTACAGGGAAGTTTTGTTTTATCTCTATGGCCAGTGCATGTACCTCCCATAGCCCTAAATATTGACCCATCTGTAATTCCCATGGGAAGGGGTGTGAAAGTCTGGTATACTAGATCAGGACTAGATCCCATTCCTGCCACTGTCCTATCCTAGGACCACTCTCTTGCACACATCCTTCCTGATGGACAAGATTTGCCTATGCCTGTGTCATTAAAACATATATCTTATAGCCCTTAAGGTTATTTTCTTCTATAGTCCTTGTGGCCTGGACCCACCCCCTGGCTGCAGCTGCTGCGTGATGATTGCTCTGAACTTCCTACCTGTTCAGCTACTGACCACCTGTGGAATGGGCGAGCTATGGACTAAATCTGCATAGGACTTTGAACTCAGCTGAATCCTCCAGCTTAAGGATCATCATGATTTTATTGCTGTTGTTGTTGTATGTTATTAGTCTGGTTGTAACAGTTATGTCAACCTATTGGATTCTGGTCACAGCTATGGAAAGGAGCAGAGGTCTGGTACACCTTGCTCCAGTTTTCTTGCACAGGGTCCATTGCAGAAGATGGGAAGTGAGTAGATTGGAAGGTGAGATTTCTGGAAGGGTGGGATGTGGGTAAATTGCAATATTTCCAGAATCTCTCCCCTGACATTATTGCATATCCATATCAATAGGTGTTTCCAAGGGGTGGAGAGAAGTAGTCTATCTCCATATCAATAGGTAATTACAAGGGGGAGTGAGAGCATATCTGGACTGGAGAGGTTGGGTGGGGTCCCTTTTTGCAGTCAGGTTGCCCTAGAGACACAGGCAAGAAGTGGATGACTGCTTGTATGCAATAAATAGGTTTCCCCCATTTTATTTCTCCCTTTGACTGATTTTGGTTTCAAAGGTATTTTTCCTGGAGCTGGGAAAATATCCCCACCCCACCCCTGGAGTTACAATTGGAAATCCCACCAAATGATTATGTTTCATGGGAAGACCTTCACTTAACTAAGGGCCATAAGGAAAGTGAATGTAAGAGGTGCACAACCTCACTAAAAGTTCCCTGGTGGTTCTCCTCTGCAGGCCAGGACTGACAATAGGAGAGGCTGTTACAAAACTAGGCTGGGAATGAGTGATGGGCTCTTGAAACAAGAGGTCAGGTGGCAGCACTGAACTGCCAGAAGCCAGGTAAATGTGATCATTATAATGAGTGGAAAGGTCGAAGTGAAGCCAATAGGTCCTGACCTTGAGAGAATTATGGAGATAGTTAACAAAAACAAAGCATGGCCAAGGGCAAAATGGATGGGTAATTAATAAGGGTACTCCTCAAATTTCAATCAGAAGAAATCAAAAGTTGGGTGAATAGGAGGCTTGAGGGCAGGGCAGTTGCTCCAATAAAAAGTGGTCATCCTTTGTCCACTTTTGGATCTGAGTCAGTTTTCAGACCCTGAACTCATTAATTAATGAGATCAGGTCATCAAAATGAGTACCCTGCAACACCACAGCAAATACACACAGTAACAATTTCCCCAGTCTTTCTTTCAAAGTTCATATGCATGCATGGATTACTATTTTCAAACATTTTTTACATATAGTTGTAAGGAATAGAACACTAGTTCATTTAAAATTGTTAGTGAATCCAGTTTTGTCATTTTGCATTTTCTCAACCAACAGATATTAACATCTCTTTTGTCCTCTGGGGGGTCACATAAAAAGGGGTCCTCACAGCAGTTTAAATGTGCACGCTTTTTACAATGTTTATGCATGTATAAATGTAAGCTCTTGAGAGCAGGGATCTTGGTCACTTATTCATCTTGTTCAGCATCGATCTCAGTGCCTAATACATATATGTTGAATACATATATACACATGCAAACAATTTTGTTTGTTTTGGTAAAGAGTGGACGGAAATTTTGGGATGGCAGAATTTTGCATAGCTTTTTTTCCTTTATATTTTCATGTCCCTAAATTTACTTACAATAAATAAATAAATCAGGGAAAAAATTTATAATCAGAAAAAGGGTATTTTATTTCCCTCAAAATGTTAAAAATCAACGTAATAACAAATTCATACTCAATGTACAAAGTTCAAACAGCAATTGTACAAGTTGAAAAATAAAAATCTCCCATCTCCTTCCTTCAGCCCTTTCCCACTGTACTATCCCTCTACTCCCACTAAACAATTTTAACAATTATAGCTGACATTTATTGAGTACTTACTCTTTGCCACAAAGTATTCTAAGCACTTTTTTACATGTAATAACTAATTTAAGCCCTGTCCTCATTTTACTAAGGGAAAACTTTCATAGGTTGGCTGTTCTGGAAGCCAACACCAGAGGAAGTTAAAGTACATGATACTTATTCATTCAAATTAGACACTGTTTAGGTCTTAACATGGACTAACTCCAACCCATGAATCATTTAAGAAGACCCCTTGCAGAAAGATCACATTCAATAGATTTAATTCAAATACCTTGCTTAATGGCAGTCAAGGGTCACTGACTATATATTATGGGTTTCTTTTACTAACTCATTTAAAGAGGATCCTCAGAGAATGGCACCATGCTGCAGGGTGGCTAGAAATAGGGGAGTTGGCCTGGTCATTTTGGTCATTGTGGCCATGGGCTCAGTTCTACGAATATCTTCGTGGAGGGAAGTCTAGGGGTTATATCTTAGGAAAAATATTTTGGTGTAGAGTTAGTTGGGCCTTACTAGGTTTTCTCTATCTAAATCCTGAACATTTTTTCAAGCTAACAGGCAGCAAACAGGACATAAAGGTATGTGTTTAGTTCCTGGGATTTCCCTATGTATGATACGACATTTTATTGTATTACTTTTTTAAGGCATGCACATTTGTGACGTGTAATGCAAACTTGCTGGAGAAAACAACATTTGGGCAGTAAAAGCGGAAAGCAAAAGGGAGCTAGAGAGCAAGAACACATCAACCTGCCTGTGCCAGAGATACCGAGGGAAGACTGGGTCTAACTACCAAGTTCACTACCAGAATAAAGAACAGACTCCAAAAAGTTTTGATAATAGCTTCAAATTACTATTGTTTATGTTCCCTACTTTATATTCCAAATCTTACAAAGAAATGACTCCTGAAGTTGCCCTTTTTATCGTTGACCTCAACAAGCATAAAATTCATTTTCTACACACACCAATCTCCCAAACCTCCTCTCCACCGGTGTTCCGTATTTTGATGAAGGGTCTACTCACCACTAGCTTCTTAAGCCAGAACCTGAGCATCACTTACGTTTAGGACCTCGCCTTATCCCTCGCCCAGCTAATCTTCGTGTTGAGATTTCTACCTTCCAAATTATCCAGAAGCCATCCACTGCTTTCCATTTCCACTGCTTCTTCCTTAGTTCAGGGCATCATCCACATTTTTTGCCAAAATGACACTATCAGCATGATGTGGTCTCCCTTCCCTTAGTCTCCCTCCTTTCCTTTATCCATTTGCCATACTGCGGCCAGAGCAAATCTTATCAAATCTAATAACGTCATTCTTCAGTTTAAAATTCAAATTTCCTAATACAGATTATTAGGCTCCGAATAATGTGGCCGCTGCGTCTCTCGAAACGTACCATAACCTCTATTCGGCCACAGTGAACTTTCAGTTCCCTGAACCCAACCTTTTCTATTGTCTCTGGGCCTTTGCCCACGCGGTTCTCTGCATAGAACCCTCTTACACTCTTCCTGCTGGTAATTCAGATGCATCCCCCAGCTCCTAGCTCAACTGTCACTTGCACGGCCCAGGTAGGCAGGCTTTACCGCATCGGGTGCCCTCAGCGTAGTCCAGGCGATGGGTGTGTGTCTTCCGTGTGTCCTCCTGTCGATTGACCCTGGATGTCGTCCTTGGCACTCCACCAGTGTCAGACAGCTGAAAGGTTCCTCACAGAGTGGACCTTGGTGCGCGCGGCTCAGTCCACAACAGGTAGGCAGCACACCAAGGTCCGGCCCCGCGGCAGAGACACACCGTTTCCAACGGTCGGCGCGTGCAGAAGCCCGCGTCTCGTTGCCTAGAACCCGGCCCCGCCTCGCACGCTGCGTCGGGGGCCGCGCGGGGGGCGGAGTCAGGGGCGGAGCGGAGCGCGCATGCGCGGTCGCCTTTGTGTGGGTCGAGCAGCGGCTGCGGCGGCAGCGGCAGTGGCGGTCCCACTGGCAGGCGGGCAAGAGAGGAGTCCGGGCGGCGTCCGGCGTGGGAGCCGGGGGACCACCATGGTAAAGAAGCGGAAAGGCCGTGTCGTGATCGACTCGGACTCGGAGGACAGCGGCAGCGACGAGAACCTGGATCAGGTGAGGGCAGGCCGCGGAGGCGCGGGCCGGGGGAGCGGGAGAGCTGAGTCCGGGCCAGGTGAGCCTGGAGCCGGCCGGGCCCGGGGCCTCCCAGCCCGAGCACTTGGCCCGCCCCGTGCCCTGACCTCCGCTGCCGCTCCTTCCTGCCCTCCCCACAGCGCTCCGGCCCTCGGAGTCTGTCCGGGGCCTGGAGACGGAGCCCGGAGGACTTGGCGCCTTGGGCGGGGAGGCGGGGCAGGGACCGGGCTGGTGGGCCTAAGGCTCAGGGGACCAGTGGGGTCCTTGGTTTGCCGGGGCCAGATCGGGGCGGCAGGCTGCAGGCCAGGCGATCCGGGCCTGGAGAGATAGGAAGTATCGCCCGCCAACCCAGGAGGCTGGGAGGTTTTGGAGGAGGTGCAAGGGTAAGCGTGGGGCGGTAGCGGGGGAGGGGGCCGAGAAGGTGCGGACTCTGGAAGATGAAGTTTTTCAGACTAGGGGAGTGGACAGAGGAGGGGCGCTCCTAATGTTTTGGGTACCCTTTGCCTTGCTTGGCCAGGGAGACTTAACTGTGGGCACGAATGTATTTGGAAACTAAGGTCGTTTGTGGTTGAGAAGGGTCCCCATTGAGATGTCAGACTAAAGAAAACTCTTGGGAGGAGAAAAAGGAGTTGAAGTGGAGAAATCTATAGGTCCTCATGAAGGGGCTATGGCCAAGAAACCTCTCGGCCCAAAATTCTTAATTGCTTAGATTGTGCAGGAACCATTGAAAGTAACTTTTGGTCTCACTGTCTTGGTGTTGAATTGTCTAGAAAATGCTGTAGGGAAGAAGCTGTGCTTTGTAGCAGTGCTCTAGTGATACCAGAAGATACAAAGAGAATTTTTCTCCCTTGTTTGTGAACACATGCTGTAAAGAAAGAATATGCAAGAAAATAACCTTTGTAGTTGAATAGAGAGAGTACTGAACTTAGTTTGAAATTTTGAGTTCTAGCTATGTATCTTTGCTTAACTATGTATGATGTTCGTCTTGCCTATCTAATTGGGCTATTTGGAGGATCAAGCATTTGTTAAGAATCAGTGTGGTACAAGCACTTGCAAACTAAAGCTTTTGTATAGATGGCTTCTTGGGGGTCCTTTGTATTAGGCCATAGGTCTCAGGACTGCAATATTAGGGCATGAAAGGTGAGGACTTTAAAAGGAGGGACTAGAGATGTATTGAAGAAAAGAGGGCTGTTTTGAAAATGGTGATAAGGAGGTGGGGAAATAGTGGGACCTGTGGAGAACTATCAAATGGGTAAAACCTTGTTTTGGGGTAGGAATTGAAAGATAAGTTGAAAATGTTCTCACAGAAAGGTTTCTGTAATCAACAAAAATATCAAAAATATATTCTTGGCTGTAAGTTGGCTTGATTATTGTAGACTGGCACTTAGAATAAGAACTTTTTAAAAAGACTTTTCTGATCTTGAAGTGTAGATATTTTTGATAATAACATCAGCTACCATTTACATAGGGTCTAGGGTGAAGTAGTCACCTCAGTTGCTTTATTTACATTGTCAAATTTTCAAATTATGTTGAAGTTAGTATCATTTTCCCCATTTTATGTAGGAAAGTGGAGGTTGAAAAACAACTTATCTAGATTCACAAAACTTGTTAGTGGTAGGATTGGAATTTGAACCCAAATCTGCACTATCACAAGGCCTATATTTATGTGCACTATCCCAACTTAATCTGTTAGTCTTCATTTTTCCTACTGCAAAATGAGGGTGATGTTTCATGGTCATCTTCCATGTTGCTGGAATTTGTGCTTGTAAAATGTATTGAATAGTTTAAACAAAATTGTTGCACCAGTTACAAAGATTATTTGGGGGCTTCCTTAGTAAAGTAAAGCATTCTTAAGACATCTGATGGTGAATGAACTAAACTGCAAGTTTTTCTGTCCTTAGTGATTGATTTCCACAGAATTCTGACAAGTGAAATGATTTGAGAGCTTCCTTTTGTGGTAGAGAGAGATTTTACCTGATTCACAAAGAGCATTTCCAGAGTGGGAACTGGTGAGGGTTGCAACTTTAAACCAAATCTATTTGTTAAGAGAAATTGGCATGAAATGTCTAAGTAATATCTAATACATTTTAATAGCAATTTCAGCTTCCTCATCTTCAACCACTCATTGGCATTCTTTTATCAGATGGGAACCAAATCAAAATTCCCTTTCCCTGTACATCCTAACAGAGGCACCGGTGCCTCCTATCTATTTGTTTAGCACTGTTCCAGGCTCTCAGATAAATCAAAAAGAAAGATCTTTGCCCTTTAGAAGTTTCCACCAGAGACCTTTAGCAGAAATTCAAAGTCAGTCTGGTTTGAGGATCCTCAGAACAAAATTAATGCATTCTGGGCCTTTCCTAACCAAGGTGCATTCATTGGGCTGCTCCATCTAGTTCTGGGTCCTCATTGGGGTATAACATCATATTTCCTATCTGGCATAAGGTCCTTGTGGAAAAGAACAAACCATGATGTATGTCTAGTGTGAGAGTGGAGCACAGTTAATAAGGAGGTTCTTTGTCCCTGGGTTTTCCAGATAAGCCATTATGTCAGAAATACTATATCTCCAACCAAGTTCTTACTGAAGGTGCAGCAGGTGAGCATCCTGTATTGGTTTTTCCTTGTGCTGGGAAGAGGACCACCTGTGTCAGAAGCAGGGGTCCCATCCCAGACCTACTGAATCAGACCCTCAGGGATAGAGCCCTCGACTCTGCATTTTTACCAGGGACAGCCCAGGTACTTATTTTTGTTAATAATTGAGACCACTGTCTGTATGCAACCCAACCTTTTTAGTAAGACACTAAGTAGTTTGGGAGAGAAATCACTTCCTGTTTTGGCCATAGTGTGTGCACATTATAACTGAAGAAACTTAACAGAGATGTTTAAGGTGGCAAAGCTGCAGGTTCTTCTAAATCTCTGAAGCCTTTTGAATTGTTGAGATGCTTTTTATTGAGGCCTATTTCTTTTTCCCTTTCTTCTGGATGAGAAGAGGTATGTAGTAACTGAAATATAGCTGTTTAAAATTTGTTTTAATTTTCAAAGGTTTCAGACCTTTGAAAATTAGAAGAATTTTTTTTAAACAAGTGATCTGATAGTAACCTTATTTTTTTTATGTTGGCCACACCCTTTCTTCAGTATTTTAAAATGCAAACATGAAGATACTTGCTTTTGGCACCTGTTGGGAAAAAATAACAGAATTTGAGGCAAATCTAGGCTTTTTCCCATCATGCACCTCTATGACATAAAGTGTGTCCTTCTTTATGAAGTAATATATATGCAGTGGGTCCTATAAAGTGAAAAGCATCTAAGATGATAAAGGAATCATAGTTCTCTATTAAGATCAATGTAATTCAGTATTTATACAAGCTGTGCTGTCTTTTTCAAGAAAAAGAAAGTTGAATTTACTTGTTGCATACTCAGATGCTTTATTTCATAATTTTCTTTCTTATTTAAAGTGATTTATGTTGTCATGTTTTTCTCTGTTCATCCTACTTGAAAAAGCAATAATTAAATTTGTCCTTGAAAGAATAGGCCCCTTAAGTATTTTCTAGAAATTATTTTTAGACAGTATGTAAAAAATGTCATTGTTATAAAGTATCTGTCCATAAACCTTCCCCTAAAAGTTGTGCTTCTCATTAATGTAGTCTTTTTACACTAAAGCAGAGTTTGAAGTCTAAAATGAACTTGTAAGAAGTTTCAGTGTTAACTTGTGGAGTTTTTAATTTGTGTCATAATGTTGCATGTAGCTTGGTGTATCTTTGTTGGTAATTCCACTTTTCTTTAGAACTAGTGCTTGAAAGACTGAGTCCCACAGGAACTAACAGAAGTTTTTAGGAAAAATTCAAAGCCCATCTTTCCATACCGGTTCTGTTGGTATACTTCTTGCTCCCTTCCTTCACTGTAGGTTCTCCAAAAGCAGAGATTATTTATCTTTCAGCAAATTTGTTAGTGCTAGATACTAGGCTATTGGGGAACAAAACGGGAGCAGTTTCTACTTTCCAGGGGCTTAGAGGAGAGAGAGAAGAGGAAAGGAGGAGCCAAAAGATGGGCGGGAGGGAAGGGCAGGCATTGCTTGGAACGTCATTTCCTTACAATATCACTACAGGCTATGAAGGAAGAGCGAGTAGACCAGGGACCGTGTACTAGCCAGGTGGGAGTGACATTTAAACTGAGACCTGAATGTATGTTAGAGAAAAGATTAGGAGGAGACTGAAGAGTACAGGGATGTGTTGAATGTTCATGGTTGAGGGACCAGCATGTACAAAAGCATCAAGGCAGAAAGGACCAGCACTCAAAGTGAAAGAAATGCAGGGTGACTAGAATATAATAAAAAATTATCACCAAACTGGAATAATTGGAGAGAGAGTGGTACAGATGTAGCTGCAGAAGTCATCTCTGTTTGGACCCTTTGTAGCTGGAAAAGCTACTTTAGTAGGTCACAACCAGCATTAAAAATAAAAAATGAAATTGAATCAAATAGAAAACATTGTGTGTTAGATCTAGTAAAGATAAATATTGTTTCATGGAACTTTATTTGTGTTTCGCATACATACATACATGTCTATACTGGGTCATGAGGTCTAATTTATCTGACTTACTGGTGGCTGGGGTTAAAAAGAAGTTTTAAAACCAATGGCAGGGCCATATTGGCAATATTAAGGACTTTGGACCTTACTCTGAGAGT